CCCGGTGACAACAGTCCCTTGGGTTCTCCCTCCTGGAAGAGGTGCCGGCGCCCCGGGGGATGGAGGCCGGTGGGAGTGGCTGGCTGTAGGATGGCAGCAGCAGGGCGAGCCTCATCAGCGATGTACTGTAATCTTCCAGGTGCCCTTTGCCTTCCCTTATCCCTGCCTGGGACGTGCTGCCCCTGGCCTGCTTGGCTCAGGGCCCGCAGGAGCTCTGCACCCAGCCAGGAAGGACCAGCCCTGGCAACTAGGAGTCATGCCCCACGGTGTGTGGGTGGATCTCCTTCCTTAACGTGGGGCCTCCTTAAAAGGCTGCCTGCTCGGTTGTAAGTCAAGCCTTGGCCAAGGGGGGCTGCGGTGAATCTTCCCACCGCCCCCTACCCTCTTGATTTACCGAGGTAGCAGCCAGGAAAAGATCCTCCTCTGAGCCTGTGAAAGGCCATTGCCACATTGAGGTGGACCCGCAGGCTTGGGTGAACTGAAGCAATTATCTGTCCATTAGCACTGCTGAAGAGCCTGCTGCATGGGCAGGAGCTCTTACTGCCTGGGTGTTCCTAGGGCAGAGCCAGCAAGGATCCTCACAAGGATGAGAAGGCAAATCACTCATGGGCTCCTGGAGGTACCCAAGAACATGCAGATGGGGTAGAAGGATCAAGTCCATCTCTGATCATCCAGGATTTCCCTCAGAAGAGGTGGAGCTAGGCCAGCCCTTGCTAGGAAGGAGATGTGTTTATGGTGTCTTGTTAACACCTCATTAAACCCTGACTGTTGGCTTTGCCAGATGGAGCTGTAAGAACCCCCTCTGTTTCTGCTGGGACGATGGCCTTTTGGCCACCACGTTATTCATTATGATTAACGCTCGGTTTGCATCCTGTTTATATGTGGCTGCATGAGGTGAAGTCCTGCCTGTTGCCCAACAGACACTTCCCAGGCAGGTTCCCCTCTAGTTTCACACCTCATGGTTTCACAGCTGCCTTTTTTTTTTTTTTACTTTTAAAAATCTTTACCATTTCAGTTAGTGTTGCTTCAGTAGTAAGTAAAGGACGAGGCTGGGAAAAATAACTGGCTATTCAAGAAAAAGAAACCCTAAACGTATTCCTCTCTTTATGAAGAGCTTGCCCCACTGCTGCTTCACTTTAATCTACTTTGCAATAATTTAACTCGGGCTATTAGCAACGGTCGCGGCGGATCCTCACTTTGGCGGAGTCGGGTGTCCTCGTCGTGCCACAGAAACTCCCCAGAAGTGCCACCAGAGCTGAGGGACGCGTGGCATGCCGTGCTGCCTGCTCTGCTGGCTTTCCCTCGTCCCAAGAGGCCGGCGGCCAGCACGTCCCCTCCCCGGTGGATAATTAATCTAGTTAGTGAAGTGTTCGCCTCTTCCAGACGTAATGCTGAGGAATGCTCTTCCTAAGAGCTTAATCATCAGTGTCTCCCTTAGTCAAGTTAGGTCATGGCGTTGGTGCAATATTTATGGTGTTACTAGCGGGAACGAGGTGATTAACCCCTAATGACACTCCGCTGTTAATTAACAAACCGGGGAGACCAAGGAGAGGAGATTACGGCCATTGTTTCAGCCTCTGCTGAGTCAGTGCAATGTGCCTTTGGTTTATCTCACTGAACCTACTGGTTTTTTTTCTCCACTTGTTTTTTGAGGGACCCATAGCAGCTGGAAACAGCCAGTGAAGGCACTGCGTGGGTATGACTTTCTTATGCCAGGGAGGGCCTCCTGTCTCCACCCAGGATATTGCTTTGAGTGCAGGAGCAAACACACATGCGGCCACATGGAGAGGTGCTCTAGCTTAAGCACATGTGCTTATGCATGTAGCTGGAAGAGGGTCCCTGCCCCTGGAAAGTACCCAGCACACGGGCTTTGTTTTAACCCCTGAAGCCGAGCTGGCCAGCATTGCTCCAGTCCCAAGCTGCACATTAAATCACCCACTTGGTGGCAGGGGAAGCATGAAGCTTTCAGCTGTCAAGAATTTCCCAAATGCTTTCACTTTTCATTTTGAATATATATCAAGGTTTTTTGTAATGCAACGGTGCTTCTTGGCAGTGCTAGGCTAATGGTTGGACTTGATGATCTTGAAGGTCTTTTCCAACCAAACGGATTCATTCTATGAATCTAATAAGCCCTTCTTTTGTTTGTTCTCTGTTGGTCTTCACCATCTTGATGCCTACTCACCCTTTCCTCTCCCATTCCCTAGTTCACCACTGGTACCTGTAGCGATGCTGCGGTGCACAGCTGTGAGCTGTGTGGGAAGGGCTTTCGCTTGCAGCGGATGCTGAACCGTCACATCAAGTGTCACAGCCAGGTGAAGAGACACTTGTGCACCTTCTGTGGAAAAGGCTTCAACGACACCTTTGATCTGAAAAGACACGTCCGGACCCACACTGGTACGAAGGTGTTCCCCAGGGGATTGTGGATGGCTCTGGGTAGCGGGAGGTGGGAGAAGTGGTGAGATGGGACAAGGATGGAGGGTGAGGTTAACCCAGCAAGACCAATCATGGAAGACCCAGGTAAACAACATCTGCAGAAAATAGCAGGGTTGTGGTGGAGGAAAGGGAAAGACGTGAGCGTGAACAAATAAAAGCCCCAGGACTAGTGAAATCTGATAACTAATAAAATCCATGTGAAGCACTGTAGGTGCACGAGCTGCTATCCAGATCCAGTGTAGACACAGCAATGTGCTGCTATGCCTGGGTCAGCGAGACTGGGATAACCTAGCTGGGAAAACCCACTCCAGACAACTGTCTGCACGTTCTTGCTAGTCCAGCGTGTAGCGGTGAGCCCGGGCAGGCTGTGGATGAGAATGCTTTGCCCTCTAGAGGCAATCAGCAGCAATTTCTTGGTTGTTTTTTTTGTTCGTTTTGTTTGTTCGTGGTTTTTTTTGTTTGTTTGTTTTTTGGTGTTTTTTTTTTAACCTTCCTTGCTGGCTGTCCTGCAGGAGGGGATTATGTACCTTGATTTTGGCATCGTCTGGAGAAACCAGAGTGTGGTTAATACTGTGCCTTCAGCTTCTTTAGGGAAACCAGGCAACACATCTGATGTCTGCTACCCCTGTACACTGCATCCCTGCATGCATCAGGCTACCAGCTCCCTCAGTCCCCTGTTGGAGCTATTTCCCTCTGTATATCCAGCCATCCAGATTAGTTTGGCCACTGGCCTAAACCATCTCTGCTCATTTGTTGTGTGTGTTCACAACATGAGTTGAAAATCAGGAGCAGTCTCTCAACAGTGGCTCCTACTCTGGATTGAGAGGGGGTAAAAAAAAGCTGCCTTTTGCCTGGGCTAGTTCTCTTCTCCCTGCTTGCATCTACACCAGATGCACAGGCATAGCCTAGGATGCTCTGATGTAAACACATGATGGCACTGGAAGAAAGAAAAATCACCCCTTTCCCTTCTCTGATCACTCTTGCTCCCCCAGGCTGGAGGAATTTACTTTCCATGACTGTTGTGCAGCGAGGTCAGTTCCTGACCCCACCCCAAATAGTGACAGTTGTGTTTCTTTGAACAGGATGGGTTGCCTCAAATCCAGCTCACTGGTCACAAAAGTGCTTTTCTTAACCTGGAGCAGAGAGAAGGACACCTTTTTGTTTCTTTCTTTTTCTTAGTGGAAGCAGTGCCTCATACCTATCAACCAACCCCATCCTCAATGAGCATGATGCTTTCTGGCAGGCCAACCTGGCTGTGCTCAGGAGGCTTTGAATTTGCACTGCAGGGCACCTGGAAGATGCAGCCACCACATCTCCCAGTCACATTCCAGCCTTCCAGATTGGTGGTTACCTACAGGACTCACCAACTACTTGAGCTTGCTCTCCAATGTCCCTTTTTTGGCTTAGGCACCATAAACCAGCTTCACCTCTAGAGGTGACACAGGTCTGCTGGTGGGCAGGACTTGTGTCTTAGAAGTAGAACTTATGAAAACAATGCTGCCCATTTTGATGGGGAAACATTGGGCAGAGTCAGTGTTTTGGACTGTTTTGGTTTGTTTGCAAAGCTTTCCTGTGGAAAGGAAAGCTGCTGGCTGTGAGCAGGGAGCTGCTGCTGGGGTATGGCTGAAGTGCAGTCGGTACTTCTGAAAGAAGTGATTTTTCAACCTGCCTTCTCATTCTTTGAAATTCATAAACTAAATCCAAGAGAGTCTCTGTTCCCAAGCTAAGTGTGTTGTGGTAGGTAGAACTCACTATGCACGAGTGGAGCCAATTCTGTGAAACTCTGGTGGGAAGAAGGATCTTTGTACTGGACAGGACTGAAAACCTACTGTCCTGAAAATGTGCATCTTATGGTTAGACTGTCCTCAAATTCCCTAGAAGACAACTGGTGTCACTATTTCTCCTCTCCAGTATAAACGCTCCCATATACTGTATTTGCCTGGTGCTTTGGGTCATGGAGGGGATGAAGGCTGGTTGTAGCAGGGGTACTGGCAGCATTTTGGCATCTGTCTTTTCCAGGCTGAAATATAGCACCTCTGAAGGCAGTGGCCTTCTTTATTTCAAAGTGGATTGCTGTTCAGGAAAGCTGAGCTATATTTGAATGTTAAAAAGAAGACAAATGGGCTGGAGGTGGAAGTGTGGGTTTTATTTTGTATCTACAGATCCTCATCTACATGTGCTTTAAGGAATTTTGGTGTTGCAGTGGAAATTGCCATGCAGTGTTTGTAGTAATGAGATAGTGCAACAGTAGGGTAGTGTCAGAGAACGTGAAAGCCAAATGTCCCAGTTCAGCTTAATGGCATAAGCAGACTTCAATATTGAAAAGTAACAAATGTGTGCAGTAAAGCAAAATTTAAAATGATCCTTAAGCATTGAAGAGGTTTCCACAGCCCCAGTAATGGGCCGTGCCATCCCAGCATGACTCCTTGTATTCATGCCTGAGGAGCACTGCAGGCATCAGGAACCAAGGATGGTGAAGGTTAAACTGCCTTCAGATGAGCATGAAATAGCACCCAAAATGCTGTTTGTAGAAGATACATTTTTTGTGTGGGAATTCTAATTAAGATTTGGAGTTTCTCTCCAAGGAGTCTCACAGCAGTAGGTGTTAGGAAAATTCAGGATTGATAGTTTAAGCCAGTGCACTAGGATAATCTCCTTTGGCAAGACTTGTAAAAATGCAATCGAGATGCTGCCTATTGGAACTTCTAAGCAGTTTGTATTTCTGATAGAAAGAGCAGTGATTGAAGGGTGAGCTTAAAACAGTGTGATTACAAAGTTACAACTGTCTAGGACGCGTGTGCTTTGCCCTTTTTTGCCTGGCTATTATTCACCATAGCTCTGATCTTCCACACTCCTGTTTCACCTTTCATCAGGAAAAGCCAGATCTTTAGGTAACTCCAGCTTCAAGGCTGACCTTTGCTTTTAAACTTACTGAGCTAGTCTAGGAAACAAAACCACAACTGGTTTAGGCTTTTTCAAGTGTTGATAAACCCTCAGCTATTTGTCATTCAAGTACTAGGGGGTGGCTGTTAAATTGGTGTTGATTGGTGGTAAAATGGATACTCTTTACTGCTCATTATTTTTAGAATGTTAGCTGTCTGTACTGAACAGAACTGCTCAGGCATTCAAATCACAAGTCAGCCCCTTCCCCCTCCTCTGGAGGCACACATACCAATTTATTTCATCTTCCTACACTTCTGGAAACTGAGCTTGTAGTCTCAATAATCAAATCTATATTCTATAAAAAGGCTCCTGCTCATTTGCAGTACTGCAATGGCTGTATGTTCAATACACCACTCCCTGACGCCTTTCACTCACTGAAAGAGAAGAATTAACATTCTACCGAGATACAAGCTTTCATTCATTATAAAAGAAGAGATGAGAGGTTAGCTGAAACTGGTTAAGTTTTACCTAATCACAGGACTCCAGAAAGTTGAGGCTCTGAAGGAGTCAGTTTTTCCAGGGCTGGGAACACATTCTTCTTCAGCACCAAAGCACTGATGGGCCCCCCATCGCCCTTGACGTCTTCTTGAAGCATTACTAGGTTGTCTGTTCCTAAATGTATCAACCCATTTCTGAAAATGTTAACCTGAATGGAAGGTATTTTATCTAGACAGATAGTTCCTCAGGCTAGTAGCTCCCTGCTGCTAGGTATCAACAGCTGATACTAGCTGGCTCTTTAGTCAGCTGTACTAAATGCAAACCAGAAGGGTAAATGGCTGGCTTTAACCTTGCAGGAATTCGTCCTTACAAATGCGAGGTTTGCAACAAAGCCTTCACCCAGCGTTGTTCCCTGGAGTCCCACCTGAAGAAGATTCACGGCGTGCAGCAGCAATACGCCTACAAACAGAGGCGAGACAAACTTTACGTCTGCGAAGACTGCGGCTACACGGGCCCCACGCAGGAGGACCTGTACCTGCACGTCAGCAACGTGCACCCGGGAAGCGCCTTCCTGAAAAAAACCTCCAAAAAACTTGCAGCGGTTTTGCAAAACAAACTGAGCCCTGTCCTGCAGAGGAACTCCAAAGATGATGAGGACGACAAAGATGAGTAACACAGTGGATTACAGTGGTCTAAAGGAATGAAGTTTACATGTAGGACTATATGTATATTATTATTATTATTTTTTTTAAAAACAGTTTTGAAAGAAATTCCTGAAATGAAAGGGATGGTTTTTTTGTCAACGGGACTCTCTTGATGTTGGTAGAACCTCAACTTGAAAGAAATATTCCCATATATGATGCAAACATCAGACTTTTTTATCTGGCCAGAAAAAATTGGAAAACTTGGGAGGAGGCTCTCACCTCTTGGATGGAGTATTTACTGAACTGACATTCAGGCAACCTGTTTTCCCTTTCAGCTCTACCACACATCCAGGTGGCCACTGACAAATAGTGTGCTTGGTAAAGAGAACGACCATTACCTCCCATACAAATTCCTTTGGAGAGGTTTGGGTGAAAAGTGCTGTGTAAGAGCAGCTACTAGTACATTGTTCTATGCAAAATGAATCAAAATGATCTTAAGAACAGGAGTGCGCTGTGTTGGTAAAGAAAAAAATGCACAAATAACCTGCCCTCTGTGCAGGAAACTTAAATTATGGAAGCGTGATCCAAGGTGAGCTGAAACTTTTTTTACAGGCTGCGGAACTTTTTATTCCCAAACTTTCTCTACCAGCAAATTGCCTTATTTAGGGCAGACTTCTGGTCACGTTTTAGGTACGTCAAGCTGTGAACGCGTTTTACCATGTTTAGATTTCAGTGTAAACTTAACTCTGATGTTCCCAGACTTGTTACGCTCACTTTGGGGATTATTACCACATCCTTTTACAATACATCAGTATCACCCCAGAAACCCAAAGGAATGACTTGAAGACGTGTGTTTTTCTGTCATGACGAAATGCAATTTTTAATGTATTTTATGGTGTGTATGTGTGTGTGTGTGTGTTCATTTAGGGATTTTTTTTTTTCTTCTTGATGATCTGTTCACTAATACAACAGAGCAGTGCAACGCAGTTAAGAGGGAGACTTGGCCTGTCCCTGACTCGTAAGATCAGGCATAAATGTGGTCCCTTGTCTGTAACTGCTATCAGTTTAGAAGGCTCTTCATGAGACTTATGCTACAAGGGAAGGAGGTGGTGATAATGATGAGGGACTGGTATGATGTCTCTGTGCATTTAGAACTTGCCTTATACTCCTGCCCCAGCTCCTGTTGATCCAGGACAACCAAGAGGGTAGCCTATTTGGAATATTGAGTGCGACTTTAGGGATTTAAAAAAAACAGGGAGAGGGATGCCCATATAACTCATGTTGCTGAAACCACCTGACACTTATAAGACTCTTCAGAAGCTGCTGCAGCCCTTACTGGGCACCTGAATGACTGTAGTAGGAGGAACAGGGAGGGGTGTTAACTCCCTCTGCAACCACAAGGTTCTCCTCTGGTCCAAGTGCATGTTATTCCTCTGTCTCTTAACTTAATGGACACAGCCACTAAACAGGTTTTGCTTCAATTTAAATGCATAACAATTAATGGATTTCACTTGTAAATTCCAAAAAATAATTTCATATTCAAAATAAAGCCATACATTCGGGGAGGATACACTGTATTCTATATACATTGAAACAACAGCTGAAAAGTAACCCACCTAAAAGACATGGTCATAGCCAGGACCTTCATAGTAATTTCTACTAAAATGATAAGATTCTGAGTGTCTCTGCAAGAATAAATAAAAAAAAATAATCTCAATTTACTTCAGTTTTGTACAGGCATTTGTTTGGGTTTTTGTGGGGAAAAGCTTCTAGGGGGTCTAAAAGCATTTCTAAATATATTAATGCTTTATTCAGCACAACTGTTGGTGCTTGGGACCTTGAAAATGAGGATAATAAAATGATGCTACTGTGTAAAGAACAAACATGTCATCCTGTGTAATAGGAAAATTGACAGAATAAATGGGAAGTTCACAGAAAAAACCCCATAAGATTAATTAGAAGATTGTTCTTTACTTTGCAGAAAGAGCTAAAGCTTATGAACTTATCTCCAGTGCTTCTGAGATCATGGCACTGTAACTGAGTAATATAAATGGAAGGTTGCTTACCCCAAGTGAAGCTTATGTGCTTGCAAATACATTGGCAAAATCCCCTAAGAAATGTGTTAACAGCTGGTTGAGCCAATTGTGCTGGTGATACTCCCCTGTAGCCCACTAAGTCAGGCCTGTCATGAAATACTGTTGGGTTCAGCTCCTAGGTGGGACCATTCAGCAAAGTCCATCTGAGCAACGTGACTAGTGTTCACCTAACTGCAAAGGATTCATGTTTGCAGATCTGCTGAAGCCACAGCCCTTACACTGAAGCAGGGGAGGTGCAGCTGAAACCCTCTCTGTCTAGCTGGAGAGACATTTTACATGTATGTGTGCTTGTCTGTGCACGTGTTGGTGAGTTTTTTCCCTCCAGTAGCACACATTACTTTTGATCTCCTTCCCGACATCACTGCTAAAGCATGTCCCTGCTGAAAGAACTAGAGACACATTAAGGTGGTCCATCTGTGTCACTGCAGTATAAAAAAAGCATTCACAGGAGCAGAGAAAAGCAGCAGGTAACAGTAAACAGAAGAAAAAACACTGGAATGGAGAGAAAAGCTCTGACAAGCTGGATGCTACAGCTGGAGTAACTGCCTTTGATTGGCTGGTTATTCTGCAGAGGACAGATACACCCTGTAGCAGATGCCCTGGGCATGTCAATTGAACAGTCTGGCAAGTTAATTTAAACTGGTCACAAAGCAGGTTTGACTTTGCATTACACTTGTAACAGCCATCTGCCAGTTCTGTTTCAGAAGACAACTTGCACTACCTTGTGCCTCCACACAAACATTCCAGAGCTGACATAGGGATGCCAGAGGCAGCCAGACTTTCAGAAGTGTCAAACATCAGTAACTTCCATTACTACCATCTTTGAAGGCTGCCTGCCTTCTCCTGGCTCTCTGGTGGTAAGCTTACAAACTGACATTGCCAGAGAAGCTGGTAGCCTTCCTCAGACAACAGGCTTTTGTTAAACAAATGAACACAGGTGAACCCAACAGGTGCCTGCACTGCCCAGGCTCCAGACTTGTCCTTATTTACTAGAAGGCAGGATAAGGCTGAAATCTCACATGGTTCAGATACATCTGATGGCCGTATGATGCACTAATGAAGGCAATCCCACCCAAACATTGCCCAACTGTTCCACACTCTCGATTTACCCAGTCCCAATCAACAGTATGTGTTATCACATTCTGCTTCTGCCCAGGCCATCTTACCTCTTGCTTATGCTCATCCTCTTTGCAGCCACAGAGCTGTCGTTTCACAGAAAGTTGACTGTGTTCAGTGGCACTGAACCACCCACTTGCTATAATTCTGTGATGTGGGAAGGTACTTGTAAAACAGGTAGAACGTCTCAGTGCTCATGCAGCATGGTCATGGTTAGTCATCTCTGAACCCAGTTTCTCAGTTTCCATGATTTGTCATTTTAGATAGAAATCCAATTAAGCACAGAGTTATCATACCATCACTAGACCAGGTTTGAATAAACAAGTATCACTATAACTAAAGTTTCATGGCACAGTTTTCCACAGTAGTACTCTGGAGGAAGAGAAGATTAAGCACTGCAGAGGTTTAAGTTTCTTCAGCAGCAAGCCTGCCTAAGTGTTTATTTTAGGTATGGTTCTGGCTGATTTCCTTGAAGCTTATGGACTGGTTGTATTTTTATTCATAATCTGCAGTGGTATTATGAAAACAAAGAGAATGAGGAAAAAAGCTTTCCAGGTGTGCAACAAAAAACAGTAGCATCTCACATCATCAAGGCTTATTCTGTGTCTATAGACTTGATTAATGAAACAAGCTTCAAAAGTAACTTCTGTTTTAGAACATTTATACAGAAACTTATTTGAACACCCCTCTCTTAAAAAAAAGCCCAAACAAACCAACAGGCAGCAGTTCTTCATTCCTCAGAAGGCCTGGCTTCAAAGTCATACGTCTGCCTTCATGAAGAAACTTACTCACACTAGCAAATGGTATAACTTGGCACTGGAGATCATTCCACATGGGCAGGCTCCTTGTCTGCTCAGATAGCGAAGCCAGCAGAGCTCATGACCGTTGTAGACTTGGCCTGCACAGAGCCTCACAACCTAAGGTACAAAGCCAGTTTATACTTCCACAGTTTTTCCACATGGGCCACGCAGCCTGTTAAGAGACCTGCAGGAGGAGCCACTAGAAGTAGCAAAAGTTCCTAAGTGTCAGTTACAATCCTGCTCCTCTTCTAAGCCACTTCTGTGTTAATGATGATTTTGCCTTTGTATTTTAAATAAGCTGCTTGTGAGAACTTTGGTTATAATTCTCAGCACAGTTTTTGCAGTTGTTGCTGTAAGAAAAACCACAAATAGTAACAAGGCTGTTAATAGATACCTTTGAGATGAGCAAGAACTAAGCTGACTGAAACCCAGTGTACTACGTTAATTTGTTTATCATTTGCATTTCTCTCGGCTCAGACAACACAGATGTTGTTTTGCTTTAGTTCATCAACTTAATTTTCAAAGCCTCAGTTCTGTAACAGTCTTTCTCTCAAAAATAAAAAGGGAGGGTGATTTGATGTAACAGTCTTACTTGATTATCAACCTTAGATTGTATAAACAGTGTGGGAAAACCCAGATTAAGTCAGCTCTGTCCTGCCAGATCCACTTAAGTCATCTACAGTGTAAGCAAATACACATTGCCCATTCCAATTGTTGTTTTTTGGTTTTTTTTTTAGGGGGGGAGAAAACAGGTTATTAAGAATTTAGTCAAAGTGACTCAAAGATGAGTATGTAATCCAACAGGAAGAATTTTGCTTTGGCTTCGTGCTCAGACCGCTTGCCTCTGCATAGCTTAGTCAGTGTCAGTTTTTGTCCTTGTACTCTTCAAGGCGCAAAAGCCACTTCTTCCAGTAGTGCAAGCACAGATCAGGATCCATGAAATGCGGATGCGCGGGGGAGCCGTTCTTATAGGCAATCACAATGAGTCCACAGCTAACCTACAGTTAAAAACAAGAAGCTGTCAGAAATTTCATGCTAATATGCAACCTCAATCATCCTGAATGCTAAGCCTCACTGCAAAACATCACTCTTAACATACAAGTACCTTAAATAAGAAACAGAGAACAAAAGCAGTAATTTACCATAAAACACTTGAAGATGAACATTCAAATGCTAAGAGTTCAAAGTTCTGACTGGCTTCGGTGAAAAACAGTGGACTCAAACTGTGAGTATCAGTGATAAGGTCTACTTAAACCTTGCAGATGTCTCTAACATTCCCAGTGACTGATGAGGTTTTGCCTGAGGTCATATAACCAGACTGATGTCATTCTCCAGCATCAGTCTGAATGGAAACGCTTACTTTGGTGTGTTCCAACATCTTTCATAGTTAATGAACAGTTTTACTCCAAACACCACAAAGCTACTGGGACGAAGATGAAGTGGCAGTGGACAGAAGGCTAACAGCAGAATTCTAGAATTACTGTCTGTATTTCACTCTGTAAGTACCCTGTCTGTTAAATGCTTGTGTTTACTCATCTGTAATATTCTAGACAGTCCTCTGAAGAACCTATGAATTGCTCTGCTCTCCTTGGCTTTATATTTTCCCCTTTCAATGCTTTGTACTGAAATAACAATCCTTCAGGCCAAGCAGGCCTGGCTAAAATTGCATTAGGAGTCACAGAGTGGTCGAGGTTGGAAGGGATCTTGAAAGATCATCTAGGCCAACCCCCCTGCTAGAGCAGGATCACCTGCAGTAGATCACACAGGAACACATCCAGATGGGTTTTGAATGTCTCCAGAGAAGGAAACTTCACCTCCTCTCTGGGCAGCCTGTTCCAGTGCTCTGTTACCCTCATAGGAAAGAAGTTTTTCCTTAAGTTTAGCTTGAACCTCCTGTGCTCCAGCCTGTGCCCGTTGTCCCTTGTCCTGTCATTGGATGCTGCTGAAAAGAGACTGGACCCATCCTCCTGACACGTTTCCTTCACATATATACAAGCATTTATGAGATCCCCCCTCAGTCTCCTCCAGGCTGAACAGCCCCAACTCTGTCAGCCTTTGATCACAGGGCAGATGCTCCATTGCCCTAATCATCTTTGTGGCTTTGTGCTGGACTCTTTCCAGTAGTTCCCTACCCTTTATGAACTGCAGAGCCCAGAGTTGGACACAGTATTCCAGTGAGGCCACACCATGGCAGAGCAGAGCAGGAAGATAACCTCCCTTGACCTCCTGGCTACATTCTTCTTAAGGCACCCCAGGATGCCATTGGCCTCCTCGGCCACAAGGGCACATTGTTGGCTCATGAGCAGCCTGTTGCCCACCAGGACACTGAGGTCCTTTTCCCCAGAGCTGCTCTCCAGCAGCTCAGCCCCCAACTTATACTGACACATGGGGTTGTTCTTCCCCAGATACAGTACTTTCCATTTGCCCTTGTTCAATTCCATTATGTGTCTCCCTGCCCAATTCTGCAACCTGTGGAAGAAACGCTGGATGTCACCACAGTCCTCTGGTGTGTCCAGCCCCCCTCCCAGTTTTATGTATTTGCTAATGGTACACCCCATCCCTTCATCTTTAAAAACATTATTGCACTGTCTTCTCACTGACTGACAGCACACTGTTTTTCTCTGAGGTAACACAGTACAGTTCCGAAGAACTCTAAATCATGTAGTCGCTCATTTACTAGTGGGATATAGCAACACATGATGCAAGCAAGGCCCTCCCACACCTTTTCCCTGTTTGCAGGCTTTACTTCCTCTCTTCTCCCTTCCTACTCTTGACACAAGTAAAAAACACACAGAACAAAGCACTGGGGGTTGCCCAGATGCCAAGTTAGTTCATCTGACCTCCTAAAACATTGAGGAGTTTCTTTAAAACCAGTGAAAATATACTGCTGACAGGCAAAGGCAGCAGGATTTAGCAAGACCAGTGGGGTTATTTCATAGTAGATCAGATTAACCTGATCTAAGACTGGGCCACTTTGTTACAAACAATTCCATGATGGACAGCAAGTGCTAAAGAAAGGAGAAATGAAAATAGTGTAGATGCTGCTGCTTGTCTTGGCAAGCAGCAGGCCTGCTGACCTGGAAGTCATAATTGGCATCATGATTTATGGCTCCAATATATGCTGCAACCTGTAATGGGTTGTCAAAAGTATTCTTCAGAAATGGCTTTGATTTCTCTGAAGTTTTCCAGTCAATCACACACAATTGGCCCCTGCATAAGAGAACAGACAGGACAATGTTCTAAACTCAAATGTAGTCAAAAGTAAGAAAAATATGGGATTAGAGAGCAAAGAAAGGTGTATTACTCTCAGCTTGTTTCAACCAGATGTCACATTGCTCATCATTATGTATAACCAAGTCTCTTCCACACTGGTAGTTCAGATCTCAGAAATCAAGATTTACCAATATCTGCTGCAGCTCCTGGCAACTGCTGAGGAACACTGAAGTCTGCTCAGCTCACATCCTGCTTCAGTAAGGAATTCTCAACACAGAAGAACAGCACTCCTATCTTTGGATTCACACTGGGCAGTTCACCCATTTCACCCCTTTTACAAGATCTGTCTGGCTTCACCCTGACAGCTCATCACCACTCCTGCTCCAGCACGGACCACAGCCTCCCACACACCACGGAGCACCACGCGACACGGGCATTGTCAGGTTTCTTAGAGAACCAGTACCTCACCGATACTTAGCCACGCAGTCTACCAGGCCCAGGTACTGCAGACTCTCATGCTGAACAGCACTTTCCAGAACTTTCACCTCGCTGACATCTTTCAAGACATGTTCCACACTTGATAAGTAGCCGGAAACAGCAGCAACATCTCTCTGCTCCTTACTTGCTGTCTCTTCAGACAGGAATATAGATTCCAAGGCTGCATGAAAGAGCTCTCCTTGGAGGAAAAGATCTAAGAAAAATGTTAAAACCCCCATATTTCAGACATTACTCATAATACCCAAGGGATTTGTATTACAGATATTATACAAAATAGCTCCTAAACCACTTCTGATTTGTGTCCTGAAAGCTTGAGGATGTGGGTAGCAGAAGAGAATGAGACAGAAAAATAAATTGTCAACAGTGAAATTAGTATCTCTTATATTAATTAGTACTTTTTTTTTGTTTCACTAATTATTCAGAAACAAAATATAGTTTTTAATGTATTGTTTCTTTAAAGGAATTTGTGAATTTCTATGAATAAAAAATATTATTCTGGGCTGCTTTTGCTGCATTTGCTTCTTCTGCTCTATTGGTTCACTTGCGTGGAGCTAATCTCCTCCTGAAATGGGCAGGTATAGTTCTAGGAGTATGGGCTTGTCTCATAAATAATTCCCAGAAAGATAAATTTTAAATAGCTATGTAAAGTTTCTTATGTCATATTATTCAATGAAGTGCTTAGGAACTCAAAAAGCATAAACAAAGGATATTCAGTTTTAAAAATAATAAAATTTAAAAATAACAATTAATGTAAGGACCACTTGGGTGTTTACCAACCTTGCTACAAGAGGCCAACTACTAACCCCCAGGTCCTTGCAGATCCCCTTCAGTCCTACAGCTTGGGGAAGTCACCTTCTAGGTCTTACAAAATTAAAACCTCTACATGCATGGCAATTTCATAGAATAAGCTGTATATACTGAATAAGCTAAATAGTTACTGAAGAACTTCAACATAAACAGCAAGACACCCAGTTTTTTTAACCACTCAACATGATACACTGCAAAGTATCTATATGTAAATAGATACTAGCAAATAGGGAAATAAAGGAGAGGCAGATCAGGTAGAGCACAGAATGTCTACAGTGTCATTTTTGTTTCCTACTTGTCTCTGAATCCAATTTAGTGATCCTAGAAAAAAGACCAGAGCTTAAATTAATTTATAATAGGTCCACTCATAATAGGCTCTTGCCACTTGATATGGAAAAAATGGATTTCCAAAACACTTGGCTTGTAGGGCCAGGTACTGCAGCTATGCTAGCACATCCCAGCCAGCTCTCCAGACCACTGCTTTTACTTCGCAGTCACACTGTGGTTAGACTTACTTTTAGTATACTCTGCAAAACCATCTTTTCCAAGTTCCAGTATCATTTTCTGCTTCCATCTTTCTAGATAAAAAGCTTGCTGTGGAGAAATAGTCTGTTGAAGAATACGGGTAACACTGGGCATTTTCGTTTTTTGTAAAGAGATTTTCATGGGGAAGGCTGAATCACTGCTGAGAAGGGGGATTCTCTTGTTGGGGTTTATTAAAGGAACCCAGTTCTTGGGAGTTTCTGTTTCAGCTTTCACAGGATGTCTGTGTTTATCTGGTGGCCCATATAGCAAATTGTCTTCTTCAAATATTGTCTCTGGTGTTTGGGCACTGGTTTTGTAAGATGTAACAGAGTACACCAAGTTCTTGTATTTTTCTTGGTCAATTTGTTCATAACTGTTTACTTTTTTCTTCTTACTGTAAAGACAAGTGGAGGTAGCCAGACACAAATATGGCAATTGCTTTTGGCAAAAAGGTACTTGAAGAAGCAGTTTCCCAGGTTTTCTGGAGAGCAGCTGTAGAAATTTCATTCTGACAAGAAGTGTTTGTGAGTAGTTAAGAGTTTTCTTTCTTCTGCTAGGAACAGTCTGTAGCTTACCATATTTTCCTCCTGTGGAAAAATAAATTTGTCATTTCCAGTCATAAAACTCTACTATCAGCCTATTTTTGCCCTTTGCCAAAGAACTGCTGTGGTCATAAAGTGCCTTTGTACACCTTATGCCACCAACATTCCTTTAGATACATAATACAGTAAGAGAAAGAACCAATAAGCAATGAAAAGAAGAAATGTTGCTGAAAAGTACCCGTGCTGGTCCACAAAATCAGAAACACAGCAAACACATAAAGATGTACCAAGTAGCAACCGCTGCAGCAGGGGATGCACTTATAGCAAGTGTCAGAAGAACCTTCATGAATGTAGACACAAAAACCTCACCTGCAACTCACCTCCCCCAAAAGAGGGAAGGGGAGGATGAGGGAAAAGTAAAAAAGGTTACACAGAAGAGAATGGAGCAAATCCACTGTTGTGAGGTATTAAAAACATGTAAGTTTCTAGTGGATGCCCAACTCAAAGGGAATTGTGGGGACAAAGTACCTTTTGGAGAATAAAAACTGTTTTTTCTTTTGTATAACTAGGAGAAAGGAGACAGCAGCAGAGTGTGGGTTGTGAATTAGGGAGATCCAAGAGTAGGAAAGTCAGAGAAACCAGATGCAAAGCAAGTATCTTCAGATTCAAATAAATCTTTCAAAGAAGAGTAAAATATATATATAAAAGCATTTTTCTGAACTGAGTTTGAAACAGAGTTGTGATCTAAGACACTTAGGAAGTTTAAAGGCAAAAAACAGTGTCCTAGAATTATTGCTCACAGCACAGCTTTCAAAACTACACTGTAACTGCAGCATCCTAGGAAAGTTTATGCACCTGGGTAAAATGTAAACACTTGAATAGAGGCTTTTAAACCAACAATAGATACTTCAGAATTGAGGCCCTATTCTGCTGAAAGTTATCGGCTTATCATTACAAAGCTCCCTTCCACCCACTGCAAAGAAAGAACACAGGCAATGCCCACTGCCAACCAACATCAGCATTTTGTTCCTGACAATATGTTACCCTGTTCTTTCCCCACACTTCTTACATAACAATTCATACACTGCCCAAGCCTTAGGCACCACAGAAAACAAAAACATAGTAGGAGGCGTTAGTTTGTATGGGCTCCTGCAGAGCTGCGGTGACACCAGTGTGTGGCTGCAGCAATGTCACAGCAGTTTGCAAAAATGGGGCTGTGTCAGCTGCAGCACACGGGATCAAGGCATCTTGCAACAAGAGGCTGAGACCCTGGACTCTGGTTCCATAAATATTATTCTTCATACAAAAGGACAAAACCCTCCAGCGGTAGACATTAATCAGGAGTAGGCAGATAGAAATAACCACTGTTCTGTAAGCTGATGGCATGTAACCTGATACAAAATAAACCCCTCAAAAGTAAATCTGAACGAGGAAAACACAACTAGGTTGGATCAGAACTGTGTGTCATGTAGCAGTGGCATTTCTGACCCAGTACCAGGTGCCCTACAGCCTGATTTGCCATACTGTTGTTACCTATAACTGCACAGCATATAAATCAAAATAGTGAATGATTTAAAAACTGCTTCATGGTGATTCATGGAGGAAAATAATGAAACTACCAACTAGTAATTCTGCTACTGACTTTTTACAGTCTGATCACATATAAACAAGCTACCTTACAAGGGAAACCTTCCCGTTTAAGATACTTTGAATGTGTCACTTCCCTATTTTAATCATTACATTATACTTAATATCGAATCAAGTCTAAATTTGCTTTCTCCTAGCCAGCAGAACTGGCCTAGGTGGAGTCACAATTGTTTTCTCCTTTTTCAGCCTTCACCAACAAGAATGGACATGACTCCCACTCTGAGTATTCTATGACCTTCAGATTCCTGTCAGAACTACTCTCCTGCCTGCACATGAGAAAAGTGCAGTCAGGTAAATTACAAAAGGACAAACCAGACAATAAAACCATTTTATTGCCACAAAGGTATCCAAGTTTTGTATAAAAATAGAACAACTTGCTTTAGACAGGGTATACAGCAGCAAGAAATTGGACTATGTTCTGTAACTTCAGTTCTACTCTGCTTCATTTCTTGGACATGTGAAGTTTTGCAAATCTCGGTGAAACATAACGACATTTAAAGTTATTTCTCATTTCCTCTACAAGATCAAAAAGTTGTTTCTACAGCTTGCTAGAAATTTTTAACAGCATAAAGATGTACTTTTAATGAAGTATACATATTTCAGTTTTTCAATTCTCCTTTCAATTCTCCTGGGTTTTCAGGAAGTGAATATTGAGTCTTCACTATTACTACCAATTGTTCTAATACATTTATTTTTAATAAGTTCTCCACTTTTTGTTATTTGACTACCAAAAAGCACATCTGCAAAGCTGCTATGGCAGCATTTATAGCAACTCATTCTTCTCAGAAGAGAATAATACTTTAAAATAGATTTTTCAGTGTTGGAATGGGATTGGATACCTGGCACAATCTGCCCCTTCCAGAAAAAGAAATAATGAACTATGTAAGCACACTACAACAGATGTCAGTTTGCTGCAGGAGGTAACAAAAAAATCCCAACCCAGTAAAAGCAGCAAAGGGATACATAACAATTAGATCGTAGTACCATAAGCAAATTGTGTAACTTTATTTTTCCATTAAAAAGAAAAATTAATCTCTCCTCTCTTGGGGTTACATCTAGAGCTGCTGAAGCTGCCTTTTAAAATAATACAAAATTACCCTTATTCCAGTTTAATAGTATCCAAGCATGCAGTTTCTCAGGCTGTTGTTCAATAACCATTAATATGCTTACCCAAATGTATAACGGGAGCAAAACAAATACGGGGCCAATGACTGAATATTTGTCACATTAGCCAAGGCACAAAAAAAAAAGGTTCATTCTGGCTTTGTGTCAGCTACAGGAAGCAAGATGATACCTGATTCAGCATAAAGTTCACTTGTAGTAATCTGCCCTTTCAATATTTTTTTAAGGCATAAATTTATGCCAGATCCATGCTTTGAATCATAGGGCTACTAAAACATGCACTGTTACAAGTCCTAGAGCCAATTTATAGCAACACTGATGCAGTGTTCCAGTAATGTCCAGTATAAATTTTAAATTAACACCCTATATTTTTCTGGAGTAATATCTGTGGAAATGCTTGCACACTCTCTGAACTGAACCACCAGGAAAGGAAGTTATAGTCAGCTGCTGTGCTGCTCTGCAAAAGGAAAGAGGTTCTAAAGAAAAAAAGAATGCTTGTATCCAGCAGAATAAAGAATAATTTGTTTTTCAATTAATCACAGTGGCATTTCTGTGCAAAAAACTTATATTTACAAGAAGTGCACAGATTTGGAGTGGTCTGTACCTACTCTCATACATAGAGAACAGAATTTAATTGCTGTTTCTCAGGGGAAGTATGTCCCTTCTCTTTGAAACAGTTTCTGTTCACAGAATGGTAGAACTTTGTCAAGTATTTTATCATGAGCCACAATGAAGAACTGGATGCAATAAAATAACCTGGGAAAAAAAACCAAACAGGACTTCTCTTAAGTTCCTCAAGGTGGTTGACTCTGCAACTTCAACAACTGCACTAACACAACTAAGGAAGTTTTCCCAGGATAGGAATGAGTGGCCTAAGTGAAAGAAACCAAAAGGTTTCCTTAAGAAACTGTTCACATACATAAAAACCTTCCTCCAACTACGGTTTCAGACAATAATCAGCATAGCTTTTTCTCCACCGTCCCCTATCAAGCAAACAAAACACTAGTCTACTTCACAGACAATAAGAGTACTACTAAGCATAGTTACAGATCTGCTGCCCCGTGTCCCTAATTTGAGGACAGCAAACCTGCTGATGCAGGTTAAGTTAATATCACAGTTAAGGTTAAGTGAAGTTAAGGTTGTGAAGGTTAAGTTAACATCACAGGCTTTTATCCAGGAAAAAGTATTACTAGTTGATGTAGAAAGGTAAAAGTAACCTGTGTTCTTGATTATGAACATGACAATTCCCTGCCCTCAATCTCTCTTCCCTGGTTCTTTGCAGTCTGTAAGCTAAATAATTGAACCTATCCAGCTTAAATACACACTTTCCTCTTTTGGGAAGTTAGGAACATGGAGAGAAAAAGGAGATAACAGTAACAATAATAATAATAACAACAACAACAATAATAATAATATAAGGTAGCAATCCAGTTTAAAGCACAAGACTACAGAGCTATACTGGATGAAAGAGACACGAGCTCCAACAGTGGGAAGGGAGTAAGTGGGAAATAGGGCTGTAAAACAAAGCTGGCGTTTTTAGCAAGGCGATCTATGAAAAGAGCTGGCCTAACCCCTGAGACCAGCAAGTGCTCTCCGGCAGACAGACAGACAGACAAACTTCCTGCACGCCTGACCCGATGCCTGACAACCCCGAATAGCCCAGCACAGCCTGCTCTTGTGCAGGACTCCCCTCTCCCTGCCTCAGGGATAAGTCATTCTGTTCAAAAAGACCACTCAGCCACAGACCCGAGGGCAGGGGCGGGCACACCTTCGCCAGGCCCGTTGGGGTGCTGGGGCAGGCCAGGGGGGGCAGGGAGCTGCAGGCCCGGGGGGC